TAGTGTAGACGACGGGTTTAGATCCCATTTGAGACACCGGGAACCCGGGCGCAGGTACAAAGAGCAACATGGATGGCATCTTGGACTCTGCGTCACTGCCATCTCACATGAATCAGTCATTGGTAAGTATCAAAATTGAATGAATGACGATGGTATCATTAAGTAGGAGACCATGACCCAAGTAAACATAACATCATCAAGTCTCTGCCCATCTGCCTGTCCTGACACAAGTTAGTCTTGACAGGCCTTCTATTTTTTCCCATCATGTCGTGTCCCAAAAAAGCGAATCCATCACTCCTCCCATAAATCCGCCATCCCGACCTGGTATCTGTAACTTGAATAAACAACAAAGAAATCCGCCAAAATATCGCCCGACTCCTAGCCCGCTAATAACCCTTTCGTTGATCCATCATAAATATATATCACTAGTGCGCCCGAGCCCGCTCACCCAGCTCTATATCGTAAGTCTCGTAAACAGACACCTCATGCTTCACCATGATCTTCTCCTCGCTGTCGGTACGATCTCGCTCTGTCAACACGGTGTCGAGCACTGACTCTCCCCTGTGCTTCCGCCAATTCCTCTTTTGCTTTGCGCTCCCGATCGTCGGTGGCGGCACGTTGAGGTTGTTTCCGAATCTTCCGGCGTTCTTCCGCGGATCTGTCGGGCTGCTGCCACCCCAAGACTCGACGCCGAATACCCGGCGCACAAGAGGCCAGCAGAACGGAATGTTGGCAATGATGACGGCGGTGCTGGCCTCGCCGTTGTACCATGCCAAGAATACCAGGTCATGGGGCATAACGAAGTTAAAAACACGGTTGAGGATGGCGAGTAGCACGACCAGCACTCCCAAGCTGAACACGCCGCAGAGAACGATCTTCTGGCGGAGCGGCAGGCGGGTGCGGATGATCATGGGGATAGGAATGGCAAGGGTAAACAAGTCCGATGACACATGGAGGATGGTGACCGTGATGAGATGGTTGTGGTAGTTCTTGCATTGGTCTGGTGGATGGGTCAGCACTCTGTGTCAGTCAGGAAGAGGATGAGATGCGTACCATGCCCAGGAGGAATAGGGACCGCCCAGTAGTTACTGACGGGCCGGCACCACGCTCCGAGGTAGAGGACTTGAGCGAGGATGTACGTCAATAGACAGTACCCAGCCGTGATCTTCACTGCCAAACTCTCCCGAAGCCCGGATCTGTCAAACCTGTCAACATCCGCCCTCACTGACCGCTCCAGGAACAAAACACTCACGTCATCCTCCCGTACAAGATGAGCAGGCAAAACTTGACCAGCCAAATGCAAGTCAACATGACCTCCTCCTTGGCAACGAGCATCTTGCTCCCCCACCGCGCCGACGCATACTGCTCCTCCGTCCAGTTGTCCGTCGCGCCCTCCTCGACGTAGTTGCTCCCATTGGCGGCAATCTCGTTGGTCGTGTAGGCCACTCCCGCAAGCAGGAGCAGCGCGAGGATCATCATGTAGTCATCGGACTTGAGATCCTTCCAGAACTTGGGCCCGGACAAGATCCGCCGGGACACGAACCGGCAGATCACCGACACGAGGGCCAGCGACCACAGCGACCAAGCTAGCGCGACCAAGCTCATGTCGTAACCTTGGCCGGCTTCCGTCGGGGAGATCATGACGGGCAGGCGGGCGGGGAGGGCAAGAAAGAGCCTTTAACGTAATAATAGGAAGGAGCCCTCTGGGGCGAGTGAATTTTGCTCCCAGCGAAGCGCGTGCTGGCTGGCTGGCTGGTCTGTGCCGTTCGCGTGTCGGAACACGGCCTGGCCCGAGGGCGAGGTGTTTATGGCAGAAGCGTCAAAATGCGAATTTGTTCGTGTTCGAAAAGGGGAAGAGTGGAGAGAGTGGTCGTTCCCCATCGGTATATGTATAATATCGCTGGCCGCAGCGGACGACGACAGATCGATCAAACATGGAGCACCCCCAAAGAGAAGGGGCGAGGCCCAGCCCTCCTCCGCTCATCAGGGTGTCTACTGTGTACAAGGTGCGGAAGGTGCGATACGGTGACGCAGCCAATCGTGCTGTGAGCTGTCCGCCATGACGCTAATCGGATACACCTAAAGATCCCACGTCGGCACTCGGTTGCTTCGTCTTATCGTCGCTTCCCTCAATTTTCCTTTCATGCCTGGACGCTTTGGGGAGGGAACCCCGCAACTCTCAGTCCCGAAGGGGAGAAGCGAGGCCCCTTCTTCCAAGAGGATTCTCTGCTGCACGGCATGGGCCAGGCGGCCAGGCCACTCGGCGATCAATGTTCAAATTTTGAAAAGGAATATTTGGGGGGGAAGATGGTGTCGATGGTCGAAAAGATAAGTGACGAATCCGGGTGCCTTCACCTAAAAGGGTGGTGATCAGCAAAATGTGCAGTGGGTCAGAGAGACGGCGGTGGATTCGGTTGTCGGCGTGCTCCGCCCCTTAGCAATCCATTCGCATCAAGTCGGGTGCCGCCTTTGGCGCTTGCTTCCAGGAACTTTTGACCCCAACAGTGAAAGCGCGGGGGACCGCGTGGGGGGGACGCATTTCGTTCAGTGGCTCCTCTCCCATTGTCTCCGACCCCTTAGCGCCAACCAAGACACCAAAACACACCAAAACATCAACGCCCCCCTTTTAAGCGCGATCTACGGATCCCGTAGCCACCCGGCAGATGGAGATCGGGAAACCCTAACCAAGCACGTGTTCTCAAATTGACGGCGAAGATGGCATCGAGTGTGATGAAGGGAGGTTGGGTGAAATGCGCGCGCAGCTTTTTCTGTAAGGACTGTAGGCTATTCTTAGAGAGAGAAAAAGAAACAAAAATATCCCAGGCGAGGGAAAGCGTTGTCAGGAACCCCCGGGCCCCCATAGGCATGGGTTGGGGGAAACCTCATGCCGAGGGAAGCCGTAGAAGAAACACCATGTTTGAGACATCACACCATCTCTCCTCCTTCAACCACATCCCCAATGTCACATCACTATCTTATGACCGCCGTTTGCACGGACGAAGCAATGCCCCTTCGGTTCGCGATGCGAATCAAAGCACAATGAGGGGGCAGTTGGTCTGGATGTTGATGAGCTGAAAGCCCCCGTTCTGAAGTTGGAAGCGAGGTCAGTGATCAACCCTCTCTGTCGTTATTTCCGATGGGGATGGTATGCAGGCCTTACCTCGATCGTGTTGTCGGTGCAGCAGAAGCTGCTACCGCCGAGGAAACCGCAAAGGGGCACATCGATCAAGCCAATGAGAAGGCAGACCGCATCGTCGCAGCAGACAGTCTTCTGCTCAGGAGCGCAGGTCGACACGGGGGGAGGGCCAGTGCGGGCCGCAAGACCAGCCCCCTCGGTTGGAGCAGCGACAGCTGCCATGGCGAGGGTGACAAAAGCGATCACGGCGTTGGTCAGCTGCATGTCTGCGGTTTGAGTGCTGGGATGTCCTTAGGGGGAACTGAGGCGCTCGATGTCTTCAAGAGTTGTTGATATTTTGGCTGTTGTCTGGCTGGATGAGGAGAGATACGGATACAGACCGTAGAACGCGGTGATTCTTATAGATCTTTTTTACCTCTTCGTTTGTTGGAGCCCTTCCTCAACAACATTGCGAGGCATCGTGACCTCGGAATTCAATTCTCGTCACTTCTCGAGTTTCCAGCCGTCGACATCACCACTCCGCGCCCGAACCCGAGAATTCTGCAGTGAGAGCCAAAGGCTCCGATATTGTTCGAGGGAATGACGAAATATTCTTGTCGATCTTGACAGCGGGAGGTATCGACAACCAGAGCAAACTCGTTGTGTGTTGTTTGTCAATTATTGTGAAAGCCCCTTTCAGAGATTGGGGGCAGGATTGCCTTGGAATCTCCCATGTCCGAATGCGGCTCCCCGACGGTTCAATGAAATGAACTCCGCGTAGTGACGACGGCGGCGTTGGGAGGCTCGTGTTGCAAGAAAAAACTCTGCAAAATGCCAAAGGGCCAGCATGGCTCTGGAGCGGAAGAGCTGGGCGCCGTTTGGTCAGTGTAGTTCTTTCATCGTTCCCCACTTCCGGAGAGACACGGCCTCGTGCTACCCTATGCCCCATGGGGACCCTCTAACAACTCCAGAGAAACAGAGTCCCATGCTCGCCGGAAGAGGGGAATAAGATCTCTCCCGAAGACCCGCCCGATGAGATGTCTCAGCTGCCAGGGGTGCCAAATCGTTTGACGCTGTGGCGTCCAACCGCCTCACGAACACCTGTAACACAACTGCCGGTCAGCAAGTCGCCTAGTCCCTGCCAATCAACGGTGCGGGTCCGTGTTGGTTGTTTCTGAGCTCCTGCGTCTTTTGTCTTACAACACATACAGACCCCACGCCAAGCAACCTTGCCTCTCCTGCGCGTAAGGAAGCCGACAGACGCCGCCGTCTCCCAGGGCCAGAATCAAAATTTGCGCCGTGGTTGCGTCCGTGGTTCTGGCACGGTACTTGTACGGTATGATGCAGAGTTCTTGGCTTCAGCCCGAGTATTACACCCGATTGCAACATTCGGGAAGAAAAAGTTGTCATCAAACTTGATTTTGACTCCGAACGGTCCCAAGAGCTCTGTGGCGTTAGCATATGATTGTTTGTGCCTTAGGAGTCGGGAGATCTAGCGGCTTTATCCATCGACACTCGAAAGCCGAGAGCATATCACTTCCTGTTTCGCCTGGTTTGACTTCTCGCACCCCATCCGTGCGTGCGATCCTTCGGAACTTTGTATGTGCTGCGAAGACAAAATCGTTAGCCCCGAGTCAGGGGAGCACCCGGCGTGGAGCCCCAGCCCCTGGGCAACCCCGGCCACCCACACCAGCCGGCAGGGCCATCCTCTCCGCCCAGACCCATCCATAACCCTCTTTGTCGCACAGAATCTTCAACAATCGGGTATGGTGTAGTGGCTAACATCGCTGACTCTCAAGTTTGAGTGCTCAGCAGCCCGGGGTTCGATTCCCCGTTCCGGAGAATCAGGCACGACCAAACTACCGTGGGTGGCAACACCCACACATCTTCGGTAGTATAGTGGTCAGTATGTGAGCTTGTCATCTTTCCGAAGGACTCCGCTCGAGACCCGGGTTCAATTCCCGGCGGGAGAGACGCAACGGGTGCCTGTCTTTTTTTGCCGTGGTCGGGGAGTAGAGGGTCTCCAGGATGGTCCGTGGCGTCGCTTCTTGCGCTCTGCGAGATGTTGATCCCGTAGACGAATGTGTAGCTGTCATAGCTCGAGGTTGCTGTGCACGGCCGATGGTTCTTTTAGGAGGTGGGCGCTTCGCTCGGACGATATCTGAAATCCCTCGACTTGGTCAGCATCTTGCCTCGCTTAGATGCCAGCTGCATGCGGGCTGAACTCGCTTGTCGAGGGGATTTTGCTCACCCGCGCGGCAGTCCCTCTCTCGATCTAATCTGTAGCTTTCGTGTAAGTAGCGTGGGTGGCGGGATACATAGCTGGTGAACTGCAGACGTCTGTGGGAGTACCTCGGTGCCGATACGGCAAAGAGGAGAATTCCTTGTGATGTGGTATTGTTGAGATCGTGCGTGTGGCCGGAAGTGTTGGGGAGAAGGTGCGTTCCTGCCTAGTACAGCAGTGGCCTCTTTGTCCCACCGCTGCGCACGCAAGTTGACAGCCAACAATAGCAAAGAGTTTTTTGCACCTGTCACCCCTCATCAAGCCCCCGAAAAGGCGGCGGAAAGCAGAGTATCCAAACTGTAGAGTTCTTCTTTACGTGGCCATGTCGTTGTCTGGCCACAACCCTCGGCAAGAACGGCAGACTTGGCTAGCGTGTTGAAAAGGCGGAGTGCTTGAAGCTCAGTTCCCGGGAATGAGCGGATTGAGACAACACAGCGATAGGGGTATCAACTGTCAACGCGTGATTTCTGTGCGTTCCAATCCAAACCCGACAGAACCTAATGTATCTGATCTCCACAAATGCTTTGCGTTGATCAGTTCTAGAAGACTTTGAATAACATTATCTTACGTCCCTGCCCGCGGCCCAAACTCGCCCAAAAACAAGAACTCCACGGCCAAAACAAGCCAGACGATGGATCTGGCGATGGATATCTGATGCGCTAAGAAACAGATCATGGCTCTCCAGCCGGGGAGAAGTCCCCCCTTTGAATCACCGGAAGAAGCTGCGCAGCCAACTGTGCGTCCATGTTATTCGAGTCGTATCTACCATCCCAGTCAGCCGCTACAAAAGTGCCCTGGCAAAACTCCGCATCCTAGGCGTCGTACACTTCCTGCATGTCCGTAAACTGCACACTCATCGATTGCTCGTCCAAATCAACCGTGCCCGCCGCCGCGTCTACTTGCGCCTGCAATCCTGGATCGATGCCATCCTCCGGAGTCTGCTGGTCCGCAATGCTCTCACTCGCCCCTTCGACAGGCACGAAGCTTTGCCCTCCGTCGTTGGCTGGGCCGTCATCCTGCGGCTCACGGGCAATCACCTCCTTCGCCTTGCGTTTCCGGTTTGGCTTCGTGCCGGTATACAGCGAGCATGACGATGTGTTGTCAAACCACTTGCAGTTGGAGCAGCTGTTGTGATAGCTCCCGGGAAGGACTCGACACGTCAGGAATGGACCGAGAGCGTTTTTGTCACGCCTCTCTGTGCACTGGGCACATGACAAGGGCGCGTCCTGGCCGCGGGAGTGGATGAGAAGCCCGTTCACGTAGCTGGGCCGTTGCGAGGCGATGTGGCGAGCGGTAATCCAGCCCTGGACGAAGTAGATAATTTCCCGGCTAGGCTGGCGGAAGATATTGCGCTGGGTGTCATGGACGAGGGCGTCCTCGGTCAAGGCTTGGCGGATGGAGATGGGCACGACTGACATGGGGCGGTCCGATTTGGCCGCGTTCCACAGCTGCACGAGCGGGTTCGTCTCGTAGTCGGCCTCGCGGACCGTCATGTTGGGTCGTCCAGGGGGGCGGCCTCGGCGCTTCTTGGGAAACGCAGCCGGCATGTCGGGCGGAGGCGGCGGCGGTTCGAAGGACGCGGCAACGGGTTCGGCAGCGGGACTCGCCTGCGTGTCCATCGCATCCGTCTGCTCCGTCCCTCCCGGTTCCGCCATCCCTCCTCGCTGTCTCTCCGAATCAATTCGAACAACAGTCGTGCGTGTAATAAGCAACAATCGGGGGCTGATGGGGCGGCGCACCCGCCTACAAGAAAGGAGGCCAAAAGAGATGGTGTGGTGGAGGTTATTTTGTACGAACCGCCAAATCGACTTTGGGATGTCCGCATGGCGCGCACAGACCACCTACCCACCCTTGCCGCGTGCTGATATACGTAATGCAGCTCAGCCAGCGAGCCGCATGACCCGGTTGATTGACTTTCAGTTCAAACAGTTCCAAAGCCAGCCGACCAACCACAACCGAAACACGGCACGAACGATCGATCGCGAACGACGACACCTCTCGACCTCCACTCCCAACGTCACCCGTTCCTGGCCTCTCGATTTTCCAGCACGAGTCTGACGGACCGCAAGCAAGCAGCGGCCATGTCGAACCCGAACGCGCTACTCCTCCTCGCCGACCACATCAAACTGTCCCTCCTCGAACGACAGCGCGCAAAGACCCTCAACCTCTCCCGCGACTCCCAAGATGGTCATATTTCCCGCTCACTAGACCAATTCCGCGAGGGCCTCGAATCCCTCGAAAAGGAACAAGCCCGCCTCCAAGAAGCCGGCGACGAAGCGTACGCTCCCCCTTATCTCCCCTCCCCCATCCCCCCTTTCTAACCCCCCTCCCAGGAAATCCGCATCCCTCACCTCAACCCTCACCACCCTCCAAAAACAATACCACGACCTCACCTCCCAATTCCACGGCTTCGCCACCCCCGCAACCTCCACCACCCTAACCTCCCCTAACGATCCGGCTCTCGCACCCGACTTCGCCCACGCCCAATCCTCCACCAACCCCAACGCCCCCCCAAAACCAACCACCACCCGCAAAGTCTCCACCCCCAAAACCGTCCGATTCTCCGACTCCCCCCTCGACCTCGAAGCCCAAAATCCCCCCTCCCCACCACCCAACAATGGCAGCTTGAACCCCCTCTTCCCCTACCGCGACGACCCCGACACCGCCGGCTACCGCGACCAAGCCTCCGCCATGGACAACGTGCAAATCCACGAGTACCACCAACGCATCCTCGAAGAGCAAGACGCCCAGCTTGACGTCCTGGGCGCAAGTATCTCGCGCCAGCGGGAGCTGTCCATGCGCATCGGCGACGAGCTGGACGAGCAGGTGTTGATGCTGGACGAGAGCGAGCGGGTCGTGGATAGGCATACCAGCACGTTGGGGCGGGCGAGGCGGCAGGTGGATCGATTCGCTAGGACGGCGAGTGAGAGTCGGCAGATGGTGGCGATCGTGGTGTTGATTGTCATTTTGGTGCTGCTGATTGCGATATTGAAGTGAGCGGGTGGAGGATGGGGCATTTGAAGGCGTTGTTTTGCGCGCGGAGGGAGAGGGGGGATGTGTGTTTGGAGGGGGTCGTCTAGGACAGCGTTGAGGTACCGTGTGTCGTGTGGTTCAGGCTTGGGGGTGCCCACTCATAGGTATGGTGAATCTTGGTTGAAAGCAACCGCATTGTATTCGTTTTTCTTTGTTTCCCGCCGTCGGGTTGGACCTCTATAGGGCTATCAGTGCCCATACGAGACTCAGGACAGGCAAGAGCTACGACTTGCATTTGCTCGGCGTTCAACTTATGGATATATCGTTGGTTTTAGAACGGGAGGTCTGTCTGTCCTTTTCGATGCACAAATTCGCAACCGTCAAACACGCTTCATGCAATCCACATTGCTTGCGCTTGCGCTGACGCTTCAAATATTGCCGATGGATGTAATTACTCACCAACGCTGGTATCACTATCTAGGAATCCGCTTGAGCTGCTTGCTTGCCAAAGGCGTGTGTCAATTTGTCGTCTAATACTCTCGTACTGACAGTCCCCAACCATTTTTGCTCGATCAAACTGAGCCCCAGCACCGGTGTCAGGGCAATGTGGTATGTCCACCACTTTGACTCCCCAAGCGACGGCACCCCCATGTCCCACCCATAGTGGGCTCCCCTATTTGCAACCTGATCATTCTGGCTCTCGTCCTGCTGAACACCCTACTTCGGTCTGGCGTTACCGAATAACATCGCTATCTCTATCGATTCCTTCGAGACTCTCTAGGATGTCACTTCCACCAAGCATGCCGACACCACCAGCCGTGACCTTTTTGTCTGACTCCCATACCTCGTGGAACTTGACGCTCTTATCGCTCGATGCAACCATAATGCAGCCTTCCATCGCGGTGCGGCTGCGGCCTCGTGCCCCAGGGCGGCCTCTTGTAGAACCGGACTCTTCGAATCCGCTCGGAAATGGAATTGCATAGAGCGCCCGGTGCTCGCCAGTCCACGGGATTGCGGCAACTTGACGGCACTCTGGGTACGAAAAGATGGCAATTCTGACGGGATGGTCTGGCTGGGCGAAACCAAACGTGGCAGCAATCTCATGCCTTGTCGTGGACCAGATCAGACTTGTCACCTGCGCCGAAACGGAAATTGTGGCCAAGGGGGCCCCGGAAGTGGTGTGGAAGAAGTGAATGCACTTGTCGTTGGAGCCTCCCCCAGTTGCGACCAGCCCATCCTGCCAAGGGCAAAAAGCAATTGCCTTGACTGCAGCACCATGCATCCATCGGTGCTTCTCACTGCCAGGCACCAGCCGACTCATAGAATGTGAGGTGTCTTGAGGAGTCTGGATCTCGGTTTCTGCCGCCGAGGATGCCTCGCTGTTCTCGCCGCTGGGAGCTGCCACTGGGATATCAGGCGCCAGTTCCTCGACGTTTTCGCGGACCTCTTGGTTTTCTCGATCGGTTTCTCGAGCCGCCGACACTACGCTGGGGTCGCGATTGAGTATCTTTCCAGTTTCGAATAGACAGCATAGGTTGTCATTGCCGCCAGTGGCGAAAAGTTCACCATCCCTTGACCAGGCCAGCCCACAGATCTGCTGGACGTGGATGTCGACTCGAGTAAGCAGCGTCATCTGCCCTGCCCAATTGTATCGCTCAACCTCCCATCTGTCCGGCCATTCCACGGAATAGTAGTAAATGCGACCAGCCTCGTCAC